GTGGCACCCGAATTATGGTGACGCCCCCTGTGACCCAGCAGAGGCTCCAGAGAGCGAGCCACATTCATGGCTCAGAGAACACTGAAGAGTGCAAGGAGCAGGTCCTCAGGGTTCTGTAAGGTCGACAGGCACAGGCAAGAGGCAACTGCTCGGTGAGGCAGAAAGATTTGGATATTTGAAAATTGATATAACTGATATAACTGGGCTTTGGAAGCTGTTTTGTTTTAACCAGTAAAGTTCCAAAGATAGCATCGGGAGTTCCCGTATACCCTCCCTTTGGTTTCCTACAATGTGAGTGTCTTATGTCATGATGGGACATCTGTCACAACAATGGAACCCACACTGACACATTACTTACAACTACATTTCACAGTTTATTCATATTTTACTACTTTTTCTCTAATGCCCTTTTTCTGTTCCAGGATCCCATCCAGGATCATTTTCTACACGGAGCCATTACGTCTCCTTGGTCTCCTCTGGTCCGTAATGTCTCTCAGACATTCCTTGTTTTGGATGACAAATTTGAGGAATGCTAATTGGCTATTTTGTTTGGAGAATACCCCCACCCCACCCCCGAAACAAAACCACTGTTTCATGTTTTCCCACGATGAGACTAATGTTACGGGTCTTGGGGAGGAAGACCTCTGTTATGATCTGGATTAAAAGTGTCCCCCAAACAACCAGAGGCTAAGGACACTGTGGCACAATGATGACACATCTGACTCCAAAGGCCCACATGCTAAAGGCTCAGTCACAGCCTGTGGTATATTATGAGGTGGGGGAACCTTTGGGGGGAGGGGGCTAGTGGGAGGAAGTTAGGTCATTGGGGGCCATGTCCTCAAAGAAGACATTGGGACCCTGGCACCTCCTCTTTCTCTCTCTGCTTCCTGGCTGCTAGGAGGTGAGTATCTTCCTTCACCATTTGCTCCTGCCATGATATACTTTCTGCCATAGGCCCAAAGTGACAAGGCCAAGCAACCATGGACACACCTTTAAACCCATGAGCCACATAAATCTTTTCTTTTGATTTGATTTAGCTCGGGGGTATTTGTCACAGCAGCAGAAAGCTGACTAACCCAGAGGTGAAGAGCTAAGTTCGTGACATCAAACAGACACCTAACAATATCCATCATTGTGATGTCAGCATTAACAGGTAGATAGTGGTTGATAGGTTTTCCCACTGTAAACTTACCTTCCACCCCTTCCCAAATTCTACTTTTTGCAAAGAAATCATTATGCGCCATCATTCAGAGAGTGGGGAATTATGCCCCACCTCAAATGGAAGAACAGCCACATAAATTATTTGAGATTATTCTCTATGGGAAATGTGCCTCTTCTCTTATTTATTCATTTATATAAACATGGGCTCACAGATACTTGAGTTGCGCTGTCAGTGATAAGGCAATAAGATGTCACTTATTTCATTGCTCCAATCTTCCCAGTTGAACTAATGGGAGCAATTTAAGGATGGCCCCTGCGTCCTTTGGATGCATCCCCTTCATCTTGTGTTTTGAACATTTTCTTACTTTCTGCTTCTCTTCATTTGACCAAAAAAAATGCCTTCTTTAAAAAAAAGGCAGCTAGGAGCTGGGGTGGTGGCTCAGCGGTAGAGTGCTTGCCCAGCACACGTAAGGCACTGGGCTCGATCCTCAGCACCACATTTTTTAAAAAAATGAAACAAAGACATTGTGTCCACTTACAACTAAAAAATAAATATTTTTAAAAAAAAAGAAAAAAGAAAAGGCAGCTAAGGATTGAATTAAAATTCTTATATCAAAGTCCTAGTCTCGGGTACTCAGAATGTGACCTTATTTGGGAACTGGGTCACTGGAGAAGTTAAAATAGGTCATCCTAGAATAAGATGGGCCCCTGATTTAACATGACCAGTGTCTTCTAAGAAGAAACAATTTAGGGACAGATAGCACACAGGGAGAATGTCACCGTGAGGAAGAAGGCAGAGAACAACAGGATGCTTCCGTAAGCCAAAATGGCCAGCAGCCACCAGGAACCAGGGGCAGGCACCAAACAGGTTCTCCCCAGAGCTTCAGAAGGAACCAACTCTGCTGACACCTTCACATCAGACTTCTAGGCTCAAGAACCATGAGGTGACAAATTGCTGTAGTTTGAATCACTTGGTTGTGGTATTCTGTTATGGCAGCCCAAGGAAACTAATCCAATGGCTAATGATACTGAGCTCTCTGCGTTTCTATTAAAAAACAATCCACAAATTGTTTTTTGGTATCCAAAAAAGAAAAGGGAAGAGAATAAAAAATTAAGAGTCGAGGAGCACCCAGCAGACGTCTCACAGGGCACACCAGAACCCAGAGGCACGAGCCGGGATGGCACTATTTGATTTTATATTTGGATGCAAACAAGGTTTGGGGCTGTCTTTCCAGATTCCTCATCTTCCCTACAGCTTCCAGCCACCTGCGGCTCAGTTCATCGTTACCTGCCAAGCACACCTGCAAGTACTAGCAATAACTGCCCATCTGGTTAATCACCACCTTCTCCAGCATTCAAAGTACAGATCCACAGAAGCCAAATCCTTCCCTGGTGACCTTCATGGCAACAGGTGATTCCCAGCATCACAGTGGACCTGGCCAGACCATGCCAATTCAGCAAGTTTTGGTCGCAGTTCAATGACTCACCTTGTTCCACTCCCATCTTCCTAAAGCCATGCCAACAAGTAGCCTGGTGGCTTAGAGTTGAGTTGAAGACCACATCGCTGTGAGCCATGGGAATAGCAGACCATCATCTAGTGTTTGGTAGCTTTAGTACGATTTCACAGATGAGAGACTCTGGAAGCAAACCCCAGGCTCTCAGAGGAAGGCAGGAGGGTCTCCAGGGAAGAGGCAGCAGGGGCTCTCAGAGTCAAGGCATGGAAGAAGCCAGCTAGAAGCTGACCTGTCATCTCACCCCACATCCGGCGACCTTGACGGAGGTGAAATCTAAGCACCTGCATGGGTACGTGGTAGAAACGCTTTCCCCCTCATTCAACTGGGAGAAAAGAACTGCAGATGACAGAACAGGACCCGAAGTATTTGTGTGGAAATTATTTTCCCCATAAAAACCCTGCTTTGTCTGTATTTTTATGCCTATATTAAAAATCAAAATGAAGTCGTTAGGCTGAGGCCAGCTCAGAAAGCCTCCTGCCTGAGTACACATTCCTCCTGCAGGCCCCAGAGCTCCACTATAATCCCTCAAATTATTAAATAATTACTGCGTTTCCCTTGGGGTCACATTTGGCAACAAAATACTGGCCTAAATGAACCAATGATATGACCCAGTGAATAACACTCATGTTCTTAACTTCCTAGAAGCAAAGGGATACGAAATACTTTGGAGGCAAAACTGGAGAGGTAAGTGAAGTGTATTCCCTGCCATTTGGAATGTGTGTGTGTTGGCGGGGAAGGGGCACAGAATGACAAAGGAACATGCAAATCCAGAATCCAGGAAATACTTCAATAATCAGGGTCCTCTCCCCCAACAACCCCGAACATTAGCAATTTTCCACTCCGGTCCCAGTTCCCTTCCATTTCAGGAGTGGCTACAGCCACAAGGAGAAAACCAAGCATATGGCTCTGTCCTTCTGGACATTTCTACAATGTCAGCTGGGCTGTTTTGGAAAATCCCATTTTATCTCCTACAGCTATATGACCTCAAGTTGTCATTCTGAATAAAGTATGCTTCCCCTGATTTTTATGAACACAGACAAAAGCTGCTACAACCTTTTTTTTTTTTTTTAAACCTTGCAAACCAACTGTAGTTGCTATGTAGGGTTATTTGTTTCTAAGGCAACAGCGTATATCTAAGTACTAATGGCCTGTCCTTTTGCCAGGCAACAAACAGCCTTGTGATGCAACTGCACCTGTCTCGGCTACGCGTTACTATGGAGACACTCCAGTTGCTATAGCTACCATCACGCTAATCGCCTAGCAAACGCAGACATACAGCAGTATTCTCAGAGAGCCCAGCTGTTCCTCCCCGTCTCTTGCTGAAGACTGATTGTCTAGGGCCTGTGATGGAATGCTTCTCGGCTGAGAGGCACAAGAACTTCATTAATGCCATTTTGGAGGATCACTTTGTGCTGCCTCCTGCAGAACCAGCATCAGACCAGGAGAAGCATCTGCGAGAAGGGGACTATAAAACTCCAGAAATCTCTTGGACACCATGCCACTCCCAGTTAACATAAACGTGTAGTCCAAGGACAAGTTCTCTTGACTAGGGTAGCTGCCACAAGAACATTTCTATACATACATTTCTAACATAATTTTGAAATATTGAGGGATGCACTTAGGACCCAAGTACCATGTGTAGATAAAATCCACTTTAAAATGCTGTTTCATGTCATATGTCTCTTTCTTTGAATCTAACGTTAATATGCTTTTTCCAAAAAAAAAATGACAATCTACTTAACCCTTCACTCTGATTATATATTAGTAAAAATGGCACTCATGACCTCAACCTCCCAACACATGGGAGTGAGGAGAGCAAAGGTCTCCACTGTCCCCTGCAGTTCCTGAAGAAGCAAACACCAAGTAACCACAACAAACCCATCACTTAGGAGCACCGTCTACATGGAGACCAGGAAAGACAACAACCCAGCGAGCCTTCTCACAAGGCCAGCAGACACTGCTCAGGGCAGGGGAAGATGGCATCGCTCGCCTGACTCATTCCTTGTATGTTTATCCCAACAAAACGTGACACCCAGAGATATGAAAGCTGACAGCTTTTCTTTGTAAATGTTTCTACTCAGGAAGACAATATTTTACCACCATGAAGCCTTCTGGAAACACTGTTCCTCGGGAGGAGCAGAAGCGGTAAGGTTTGCAGGAAATACAACAATGGATATGCCTACTAATAATATTTCATTTCTTTCTCGTTTATCTGCAGTTATTTTTGAAACCTCACGCAGCCTATAAAATTAGCTGCAGTGCCTGCCTTTGCCAAAATAAAGCAACTTCAGTAGATCCCCCCCAAAGAAAGAAGGTATTGCTTACCTTTGATATGCCTGAGGAGAGGTGGGAGGTGGGTGGTAAGGTGTCTTTTTCAAAGCCTGAATTAGATTTTGTCTATACTCTGGGTCTATGCACCATAACGACCCTTTCCCAATACTCTGCAAAGGAAATTAAAATACAAAAGCATTAATACAGAAGTGCCAAGTATTTTGCAGGAAGGAGATATACAGCTACTACCCAAGTTATTTTTAAAAAGCTTCTCATTTATTTATTGACTGTTGGCCAGACTTAAATATCATCCTCAGACAACAAAACACCATAAAATGCTTTTAAATCTTCCTCGTATTAAGTTTGACAGACCCAGTGAATGTCATTACCAGATTATGCTGATACAATGATAAAATTTTCATAGCCAAACTACCCCCAAAAGGAAATCCTTTATGATTTTTCAGTGTCAACACTGAACAACAATATGAATTCTCTTCTAAAAATCTTTAATTTTGTCAGATTTCAAATGTTGAAGGAAAAAGAGCTGAGACACACTCAAAAACTATCTCTGCTCTAAAAACTAGAGTTACGTTTTTACACCACATTGTATCAGTGCCATTTAACAAAAATGGAAAAGTTAGCCCACTTGTTTTTTTCTAACTTCTCACAAAATGCTTGGAATGGATTTGAGCAATTATCTTCCCCAAGAAACAAAAGATCCCAGGCACCAATGATAACCCTTAAGCCAGAATCTGGCATTTATTTTTTTGGATTCCTCAGTTCACAGCAATCTGCTCCAGCCTTAAGAGTTGAATCTTTAAAGAAGTCAAATTTTAAAATGCAAATTTCCTCAAACTGTTCCGTGGAGATGAGGAAGTTGTCCTGGAGGCCCACTTTGGGGCTGGCTGGAGGCATTTGGTCTACGATCAGCATATTTTTAAAAATGTTAAATCCTGCCTCCGTGGCCACTGGAGCTGGCAGCAGGCCAATGGGCAGTGCTCTGTAGCTGCAAGCTTTCAAGTGACCCAGTGTCCCCAAATTGTTGATGTGGTTGATTTGTAAATATTTACCGATTTGGAAAGAAAAGAAGTTAAATTACTTAAACCTGCGTCCACTCCATGCTTTCAGCCACACACTCCCTTATTTTCACAACTGTTCCACTACAGGAAGATTGGTGCTGTCTTCCAACATTTAGAAAGCAAACAAGAAAAGCATTTAACGACCATGAGGGGGGAGGGGAGGCCTAGAAAATTCCAGAGAAGGAGAACCAAACACAAAAGTTATTTTCAAACATGTATAAAGAAGTTTTTTAAATTCTGTGTTTCAATCTTCAATTCACCAAACAGTTTTCTTACAAACCTTATTTATCCACAGCACCCATGAAAATACTATCAATAACACCAGCAAACAGGGCAACCAAAATCATCAATTTTGCAGCTCTGAGAACAGGGGAATGGCACAAAGCCAGGGTCACAGGCTGGCACCTGGGGCCACCCCAGGCACCCAGCTCCAGCTGCAGTTCTGACCCCAGACACAGGTCTGGGTCAGGTGGGCCTGTGTTATGATAAACGCCAAGGTTCCCAGCTTAATCATCTGGATGTTGAAAGCCTGGAAGACTTCAACCATGGAAAATACAACAGTCCTATCCTGGCCTTCCCTTTCATGCATTCATTTTCAAATTCAGAAGAGTTCGGGGACCTGATGAGATTTTCCATGTAAAACTGGCAGGCTACCCAGGAATATGCCCCGGAGCTTCCATCTTTCCCTGTGGAAAAAAGCTGTACAGCACACTTTTTAAAGAAAGCCAAAAGGTAAGGAGTGGGGAGGTGTAGGGAGGGGCAAGGGAGAGCAGGATTTAGCACAAGTGGATAAAGTAAACAAACCGCCAAGGCATGTCAAGCTCCTAGAGCATGGCGGGGCTGGCCTGACCCCACAATCAAAGGCTCCTCTGGAGCCCTGGGCCAGGGGACTTCCCTTCGGGTACCATGCAGCATGGTCTAAACTGCACGGAGGGCCATCGCTGTCTGCAATCCAAACATTTCTGCAATGAGATTGTCTCACTTCTGGAAACCTAAGAGCTTTGGGTTTTATCACAGTGGCTCTCAGACTAGAGGAATTTAATCTTACACCAAAAATCCAAGGACAAAGCAAAGAAGGACAACTGGCCCTCTCAGGTAAGTAATGATAAGCCAGTGGTTCACTATGATTCACTACTGTTTAAAAACTAGATGGAGTAAATCCCCAGATTTGTGCAGAACTGTCACACAGTAACTGATCCAGGTGCAGAGGGGCAGGCAGGGAAATGGTAAGAACAGGTGGTCTGGGACCTCAGAAAGTCATGGCTTCCTCACTGGTGGAGACATATACAAAGCCCAGGATGGCAAGTCACAAAATCCTACCACAGTGGCTGCAACTTACAGGCAGCCTCATGTACCTCACCTTTTTTTGTTTGTTTGCTTTTGCTACCAGGGATTGAACCCAGGGGCATTAGACCACTGAGCCACATCCCCAGCCCTATTTTGTATTTTATTCAGAGACAGGGTCTCACTGAGTTGCTTAGCACCTCGCTGTTGCTGAGGCTGGCTTTGAACTCATGATCCTCCTGCCTCAGCCTCCCAACCTGCTGGAATTACAGACATATATGACTGGGCCGGCTAACCTAACCTTTTTGACAAAAGAAGGGAGACCAAGTGACCAAGTGTGGCTGGACAACGTTTCATTAAATCAAATCTGAGGAGTCTTCAGCTCCATCAGTGTTAGGATGAGGGCCCTCCAGCAAAGTGCCTGCATGCATGAGCTGCTGGCCTGGCTTCAGGGAGCTTTTCAACATTCTAAGATCCTCCTTTATTTTTGCACTCCCTCTATCTGTCTTCTCTGCACACCACACCCCAGGCACAAGCTATCATAACTCTTCCCCTTCTTAGTAAGCCAACATCAGCCATGAGTAACCACCTCCCTTCTAGAAGTTTCCTTTCACCCAGGTCTTTGGAGTGTGATTATCCAGCCAAGGTTTAATTCCAAATTTGGTCAGTACTTGTGGCCAAATGTACTCCCAATGTTCATTAACCAAAGAAATGTTCTCAGGCTTTGGATCCTAAGTAATGGTTCCCACCTTGACGGGTCCTACCGTTTACAGTAACAGGATTTAGGAATTGCTGATATTTACAGACCAGACTCTAATTCAATATATCTCACACTTAGAACGCTGGAATTCCAAAGAGAAAAAAAAACAAACAAATGAAATGCTTCTTGGGGACACACCCCTAGGGACTGTCAATGCCGACAATTCCAGGGCCAGCATCAGGCCATGCTTGGGGGGAGCCCCAGAGAGGGCTAGGCGAGTACCTCATTTGCAAGCCTTCCTGGTTGCGTGTAGCAGTTCAGAATAGTAAAAAGGTTTACTTGACAATTTTTTAAAGTGGAAATGTGCAGAGGATAGAGTACTCAAGTTTCTGAGGCCACGGAAAACGGTACTGAATGCCCCTTGCAGGGGAAAGAGGGTGTGATTTGATTTTAGTTGCACAATAAGCTTGAGACTCGGAGCTTTTACAGAAATGTCTGCATTTCAGATGAAGGCAAGCATGTGCAGTAGTCTTTTTTGATTGGAATGGAAATAACTATGAAGGCCATGCACCATTAAGTATTAAGGAATCCACAATAATAAAGGAAGAAAAATGTCATTTATAGATACATTTTCATTATATATAAATACAACATTCACATCCTGAGAGAAAACTAATGTGAATAAGGTAGAAAATGAGGCCAAGTTTCTATATTTTTTTTAATTAAAAAGCACCTGGGGAATAATAGCTCTGTTAATAATAATAATTTTAAAAAAGTACACAAGAGGAACAAGAAAGAAAGAGGAGCCTATAATATCATGATAAGTGAAAAACATCTGCAAAAAAAAAAACAACTAAATTAAACTCTAAATCTAAAGGTATCATCTTTCCATGGCCTCCAGGGCCCATCCTGTGGTTCATACCTCTATCCCACGGCCCCACAGCACTTCAGACCTGCACTAAGGCACCTGCTGGTCCACGTGACACTGGCCTCACGTTTGGGTGCCTTGGTTAGACTGAGGATTCTGGAGGAAAGACACTATTTTTTTTAAACACTGTATTTCAAAGTGTGCTATGATACATTCATGGGTCACAAAATCAAGAGAATGGGTCACAACCGCTATTTGTTTTAATGGAACAGAACAGAATCAAATAGAATAGTCAAGAACAGAAGAGATGCACAGTCATGTCCTGTGAAATTCGTGTTTGTCCCATCTGGTAAGTATGTGTACACTGAGCCTGGAGTAGCATACTCCTTGCTGGGAAGCTGGGTCAACATTTGGTAAACGCTGGTCCAAGACAAGGGATTCCAGGGTTCTTTTCTTTCTCACCACTTCTAGGAATAAAAGCCTCTCCCAGCAGGAATGGAGGGCATACTCAAATGTGAGGCTTAGGGCTGCACTTGAGGAATAGAGGGGACAATAAGGCAGAAGCTGCATCAAAATAAAGCAGGAAGCTAAGTACAAGTTCTTCATGCATTTAAAATGATACCTGTAGCCATGTGTGATGGCGCACAGCTGTAAACCCAGTGATTTAGGAGGCTGAGGCAGGAAAACTGCAAGTTCAAGGCCAGGCTCAGCAACTTAGTGAGGCCCTAAGAAACTTACAGAGACCCTGTCTCAGAATAAAAAAATCATAAGGGCTGGGAGGCGGCTCAGTGGTTAAGCACCCTGGGTTCAATCCCTGGAATCAAAAAAAAGAAGAAGAAGAAGAAGAAGAAGAAGAAGGAAGGGCGAAAAGAAGAAATAAATGGTACCTCTTGATGTTTTTCATATGCTGCGTCCGTTCCCAGCACTACCCACTTCTCAACCACTGGCTCATTTGTTTATTCATTCGTGTGGCAGGTGCCAAGGAGGACACATTAGTAAATGAAAATGATAAAAATTAGTGACCTCACAAATCCTGGATCCCAGAGGGGAAAATAAGGTGAGCAGGTAAAGAAATAAAATAAATAAGATGGTGACAGACGGTGCTACCCATCAGGGAGGAAATACAGAGAGTGAGGAGCTAGAGGAGAGGAGACTGCCGCTGTGCATAGGGCTGGGAGCGGCGACAGGGCTCTCAGAGATGCTTTGGACCTGATACAGCTTCCAGGCCCAGGATGACCA